TCATCATCATCATCATCATCAGCATCATCAGCATCATCATCATCATCATCAGCATTATCATCATGGTCAAACATAGCAGGAACATCGTCCCCACACTATGTTTAACATATTTTGAATACATTCCTCCTGTCGAGGGACAGGCCGGACTTCACGCAAATGGCCCGGATCCGCCATGGGGGATTTACGATCTACTTCAGAGAAGAAAGCCATATGCGTAAACTTTTGTCGCTCCGCGCGGAATTCTTGTACCTGCGCTGGACCCCCCTCCCTGGCGCGCGGAGCGAGCCAGGGACGGCGCCGGAGGTGCCGCCAGGGGGGGGCCCAGCGCGGATCAGAGAAATCCGCGAGGAGCGCCATGAGTTCATGCTTGTGTTTTTTTTATAAATCTTCTCCGTCCATTGCGTCGATGCAGACATGTGTTTCGGCGGTGGAGAAGCCAGACAAATCTCCCTTTTAGTAATTCTCCCTTTAGTGAAACTGGCCTAGGACCGAAACCGACGGACCTGGTCCCGCAAAAATGACGGCCGCGACGCCCTCTCGCGAACCGAAAACGGTTAATTCGCGAATCGACGTGTCAGGGTAGGAGGTCTATCAACCTCCGACTGTGTTGTTCGGACGTTTGCGAGTCGGCACTCTGCGAGCAGTGGAGCGCGCTCGGTGAACCAGGGCCGCCCCTTGCCCCTCCTGGGGCGGCGCGAGCGTCTGCGAGGGGGCGGCCGCGCGCTCGCGCAGAGAGGTCGTCGTCGTCGTTGTCGTCGTCGTCGTCGTCGTCGTCGTCGTCGTCGTCGTCGTCGTCGATGTCGTCGTCGCCGTCGCCGCCGCCGTCGCCGCCGCCGCCGCCGCCGCCGGCCCTCGGGCGGGCGCGCCAGGAGGGGCGGCAGGCGCGCCGCCGGCGCCGGCAGCGGCAGGCGCGTGGCCCGCGGGCGGCCAGGCCCAGTGCCTGCCGGGGGCGGGCGGCCGCGAGGGGTGGCGCCGCCGAGGAGCCCCGCACACTCACGGCATCGGCACGGAGTATGCATGGGGGCCAGGTCTCCTCCTCCTCCTCCTCCTCCTCATATCGCCTCTCCTCCTCCTACTTCTCCTCCTCCTCCTCCTCCTCCTCCTCTTCTCCAGCAGTCGTCGTTTTTTGTCACTTGTTTTGCCGATCGGCGCGGGCCCTCGCCCCCCCCCACCCTCGTGGAGTAGATCTTGACTGTCTTTGGCGCCCGTTTCGAGCAGGTGGGGCCTCCCCCAGAGGACGCACGGTTCCAAACAGTCGCGCTGAGCAGAGGTCCGGAGCCAGAGCTCCCCCTCCTCCCCCCTCCTTCCGCCCAATGTCGAAACGCCGAATTAGAAAACGTTGACCATGGCATCGGCACTGACTATGCGTGGGGGGGCCAGGTCTACAGGGTCGGGTCGCAGGGCGCTCGGGAGGCGTGCCACTCTTATTTTTAACCTGCGATGTCTGTTCGGGATCTGGGCGACGCGCCGACACCGCCAAAGTTGCACCGACGACCAAACAACAAAACGTGTCAGGTTCCCGCGCGCAGCTCTACAGAAAGACAGGGGACCTGGGCCAGGAACGTACTCAACATCAGCACTGGGCGGATGAGCTGGAGTTCCACTGAGCTGCCCGAGGGCCACAGACCGAGCGTACATGTTTTACTAAACGCACTTTTACATTGCTAGTGCTCCCCCTCTTGTGCCGTCCCTCTCCCTCTTGTCCTCGTCCTCGTCCTTGTCCTCCTCGGCTTCGCCGCCGCTCAAGTTCCGGCTCGAGGATTTCAGAGAGATCAACGAGCCTCCAGGATTTTTTTTGGCACCGCAGTGCGAGAGGACAGCCCCTCTCGCAAGCCTGGGCGATCGCCACGAAGTGGTGGTGGTACGGCGTGGCCGCGCTCGTAGGGTGGAACGCAGGCGACATAGCAGACGAGGACCGTCCATTGTGGGCGGCAGCTGAGGAGTTCGAAGCACCCGAGGAGCGGGACGACGAGTCGGCAGGTGACATCCTCGTGCATGGCACCCGTGCATCCGTCCTGATGGCGCCGTGGAGCAGATGGAACAGGGTCTACTACAAGACGGGCCCGTCGCAAGGGGTGGTGATGCTGTTGGTGTCACGGATCGGCAAGTCCAACAGCACGACATGGACGGCCTGCGACCCCACCCTGAGGGTCCAAGTCATCAACGTGCGCGACAAGGAAAGGATCTTTACCAAACCTGTGAAGGATCTGACATGGACAGAGCACCCTGGGCTCAGTGCAGCGAGCAGGGACCGAGTGCTCGCGGCCTCGGAGAGGCTCATAGCCCGACGGGAGCTGGAGGCCGAGGACGTGAAGACCGCCAACCCCGCCAAAGGGAAACAGCAGAAGAAGCGCCAGCCGAGCAAGAGGAGCGACCTGTTCGGTTGGATCCAGGGCGGGGTGATGAACGCCGTGAGTTTCTTGTGGCTACGGCGTTCGGCGGGAGGCTCCCTGGCAGTGTGTTTCCTTGGATGGCGAGCTTGGAAGGTCCCGGGGCTTGGCTCTGTGCTCCAGACCCTCTACGAATCCGTGCTGGCCGCCGGTGAGGTGGCAGAAAGAGCTCATGAATGGTATGAGAAGGCCGAGGAGATGTACGAGTCGGGGGAGCTAGAGCAGATCGGGATGGCGCTCGGAGTCGGGATCGCAGTACTCTACCTGGGTTACCTGCTGATCAGCAAGGGGGCAGGCCTTGGGAGGCTGTGGAAGGTGTGCGAGAGCGACAGCGAGAGCGAGGCGTCCGACTCGGAGGTCATGGCGGGCACGACGGTGGCGGACTCGGACGACGAGCCCGACTCGAGGCACTTGTTCGCGGAGCTGGCAAGGGGGCAAAATACACTACAGGCTTCGGTCGCCGCACTGGCCGACCTCCTCGGTCAGAAGGGCAAAGGCGGAGATGTGCCAGCGTCGGGTGGGCCTCGGAAGCGTCTCAGCTTCGACAGTGACGGCGACGAGACCGAGGCCCAGGGGAAGCCCTCGGACGCGCAGGTGGACGACTTCTTACGGAAGCTTCAAGAGCACGAGGAGACGGTGAGGGTGGACTCAGGGACGGGTAAGAAGGGATCTCCAGTGCCGACTACGCCGAAGTCGGGGTCTCCTACGAGCTGGGAGAAGGTGTCTTCCCCAGGCGCGTCCAATGTAGGGGAGGCCGTGGCACAGCTGGAGATCGAGGCGCGGAACCCCAAGGACGGGCTGTTGGCTACGTTGAAGTCCTACTGTGATGTGGGAGGTGCTCGAGTCGGAGGGGTTCGTGCCAGGGTGGCCCCTACCGTCCTGGCCCGCCTGTACAAGAGTGGGAGAGGGGCGAGGGCCGAGCTGGAGGACTGGTTGCGCTCCAAGGAGCTCACGAAGTGTTCCATAGCCTCGGAGATCTTCATGCTGGCGGCCGTACTGGATAAACTGATGATGTGCGGGGAGTTTGACACTTTGATCAAATCGCAGGCCGCCGAGCTGACGTGCTTGCGCATCTACTCGATCTTCAAGGCCTACGAGAACGTGGAGGTAGAGTCGGACTGGAGGCGTCCCAAGTCGGCCAATGGTGCGAAGTGGAAGGGCAAAGTCAACTGGGGCTACGCGGAGGAGTACCTTGATCTGGCCAAGTCGGGCACGCCCGACGTGACGGCTGCCGACGAGGAGGTTGCAGGACGTTTAAAGAAGAATGCCGCCATCAACAAGCACCTCTCGCTCGGGGGAGGTGCGTCGGGCCACTCACGCGCGGACGAATAGGTTGCGGCAGGGGGGTTAGCGGCGCCTCCTTGCCAAGCCGACGCCAAGGGCGTAAGTCCGCGTAGCTCCCTCCTCCGTGGGGTCAGCGAAGGTCGGTCGACTACGAGTGGGAAGGACTTCGTTGGTAGGCTCTCGGGCTTGGTGTTATTCAGCATCCTCTCTCTGGCCCTGCGCGGGCACCTGTACTTCAGGGAAGGGACGTACAAGCAGCCGGGTATCTCTCATCGGGAACATGGTGTCCAGGTGTCCCCTGCTTCATGGAGCGGGAGAAGATGGGCGTCAGCGGGGCCCTCTTCGCGGCCTTCCCTTCCCACCGTTCGGGGCGGTGGGGTCCCTGGGCACGAAGCTGTCCGAGGGCGAGTTGAGGGTGACGTGGAGGAGGCTTTCACGAGCTATCGCGTCGATTCGGGGCTTGGCTTGTGGACATACCCGTGTGGTGGAGGAGTTGCGTCTGCGAGCCTGGAAGGGGGCGTGGGCGTCGGCTACGCTACTGCAGAGGACGCTGATCAACAGACTCTGGGAGCTGCTGGCGGAGCGCGCCAGCTGGGGAGGCATCAGCGATGGCAGGGCGGTTCTCAGCCGTCTTGGGATGGGGCAATTGATGGGCCACGGCAGGTCGGAGAGGACGACGACGAAGACAGGCGTTATGAGGAAGGGGTACATGTGCGACTAGATCGCGGAGCAGGTCTCGGTGCCGAAGGTCGGGGCGAAGGGCGTCGACGCGGCGCGGCTTGCGCCAGCGGCAAGGCCCTACCTGGAGAACGGGGGGGGGTTCATGCTGAGGGGCGACGACGAGGTGGACGGGGCGAAGTACCAGCAGACGAAGAGCTACAGCGACCCTGGGTGGTGGATCAGGTCGAATCGGCTGCCTATGACGCTCAGGAGCTGGGAGGCTGGTATGTTGAGTTTCGTCGACGAGGCGAAGGAGCACGTGGGGGTCTGCACGGTGGTGAAGTCCTTGGAGGAGGGGGGCAGGACGGACATCAAGTCGTCCAGGCTGGTGTGGGACTGTCGGCGTCTGAATCTGAGGATCAGGAGACCACCGCAGACGTGACTGGGATCACCGAGTGCTCTGAGCTCTATGGATCTGTCGCCCGAGGTGCTGGGGGAAAGGGAATTGTTCTCCTTTGCGGTGGACATCCCAGACTGGTTCTACCGCTTGAGGTGGACGAGGTCGCTAGCTCAGTATGTGTGCTGGAAGACGTGTCACCGAGCGAGCTGTGGGAATGCCAGCTGATTCTGACGCGGTACATCGACGACTACATCGGGTTCAGGCTCCTCGATCCGCTCGAGGGCGACATCGAGGTGGACAAGGAGGTGGTGAAGAAGGTGCTGGTGGACAAGGGGCTCGAGGTGCACAAGGAAGAGTAGGGGCCTGTGCTGCAGCGAGGGCTCGGGATCACGGTGAGGCGGCGGCCGTCCCAGGCGACGATCCATCCCGAGAAGCCGAGAGAACTGGTACTGGCAACGGAGGCGTTGGTGGTCAAGCCCGACGTCTCTCCTGCGAGGCTCTCGTCTTTGCGGGGTATGTGGGCCTGGGCCCTTATGATTCGCCGCTCGGGGTTTGCCATTCTCGACGCTATCTACAGGTGGATCAACGAGCACGGCGACTCCTGGGAGGAGGTTCTGCCCCTCACGACGGAGGTGGTCTCGGAGCTGGTGGCATTGGCCAGCCTCTCGGTGTATTTTACGTCGGACTTGGAAGCGGACTGGGCCACGAGGGCTTACAGGGCGGACGCCTCGGAGTTCGGCTACGGCGCGGCTGTGACCGACACCGCCGCTACGGAGGGCAGGTTGGAGGTGGCGAAGAGGGGCCCTTCCTACTAGCTGACGGTGCCGAGGGAGCTGGAGCTTCTGTTTGGGCGAGTACGTCGACGGTGGTGGTGGTGCACGCATCTGGCCCCCTCCAGGTCGCCTTTGGAGCAGCTGACCGCCCTCGAGGCCGCGAAGCTCTTCCCCGAGGAGGGGCTGGTCTTCACGGCGGTGATGACGGCAGAGGCGGAAGGCGAGGCGCTGGGGGAGGATCTCACCAGGCTCGTGGAGGTCTTCACCTTTCGGACGGCCACGGTGACGGGGTTCCTGACGATGATTACGCACGACGGGCGCTTCGGGGCCCTGCAGTGCGAGCAGGATCGCAATGCAGAGCATGTGGAGGCGACGGAGTTCACGTACGGCTCGAAGGGGAGGATTACCTACGGCGAGCGGGTGCTGAAGATCG